GTTATCCCTCTTCTGCCATCAAGTTTTCTGTCAAATTTTCATCTTCTTTCCTTCACCCTCAGTTATGCAAAGTATCTTTAAGCTTTTAACGTGTAACCTCTTTCATTGAATGTTTTTATTTGGGAGGCAAGTGTGTCCTCTGGCCAAACAGACACATTTAAAAAAATTTATCTCTAAATTCAATTGTAACTTTTCCTGTTGTATGTTTTGCACCCACAACTTCTATATTCACTTTGTTAATTTCAGCATGTTTTTAGTTTTTACTTTTTTTCATCTTCCTTTTTTTAAATTGATTTTTAAAATAAATGACAACAGAATGCATTACAATTCTTATTACACATAKAGAGCACAGTTTTTCATATCTCTGTATATAAAGTATGTTCACACCAATTCATGTCTTCATACATGTACTTTGGATAATGGTGTCCATCACATTCCTCCATCMTAGCTAACCCCATGCCCCCTCCCTTCCTCTCCCACCCCTCTGCCCTGTCTAGAGTTCTATTCCTCTCATGCTCCCCCTCCCTACCCGACTATGAGTCAGTTACCTTATATCAGAGAAAACATTTGGCATTTGTTTTTTGGGGATTGGCTAACTTCACTGAACATTATCTTCTCCAGTGCCATCTATTTACCTGCAAATGCCATGACTTTATTCTCTTTTATTGCTGAGTAATATTCCATTGTGTATATATGCCACATTTTTTAATCCATTCATCTACTGAAGAGCATCTAGGTTGGTTCCACAGTTTAGCTGTTGTGAATTGTGCTGCTACAAACATTGATGTGGCTGTGTCCCTGTAGTAGGCTGTTTTTAAGTCCTTTGGGTATAGACTGAGGAGAGGGATAGCTGGGTCAAATGGTGGTTCCATTCCCAGTTTTCCAAGGAGTCTCCACACTGCTTTCCATATTAGCTGCACCAATTTGCAGCCCCACCAGCAATGTATGAGTGTACCTTTCCCCCCACATCCTCGCCAATACTTATTGTTGTTTGTATTCTTAATAGCTGTCATTCTGACTGGAGTGAGACTATATCTTAGATATCTAATTGCTACATCAGATAGAGCACTAACCTCTAGGGTATATAAAGAGCTCAAAAAGCTAAATGCCAAAACAACAACAACAACAACAACAACAAAAACCGATCAATAAATGGGCCAAGGACCTGAACAGACATTTCTCAGAAGAGGATATACAATCAATCAACAAATATATGAAAAAATGTTCATTAGCACAAGTTTTTAAAATCCACTTTGTCTCCATGTGTTGTCTTTTTTCAGATAGTGAACATTTGGAGAGTAGAAACTAGATTTATCAATTCTGTTTTTCCCACATTTTTCTGCTTTTTGTTGAAAGGAGAGAATGGAAAGAAGGGGGAAATTCTAGTCTAAAAGTTGTGTGCTGATTCATAAATTTTAGATTACCCATGGCACTGCACTGAGATATTTGTACATGTTTCTGGCTCACTTGGAAGAGAAGTTCCTTCCGTCTGAGAAGCTACTTCTGTGGAATGTGAGTGAAATTGAGGAAAGCCAAGAAAGGAATGTGAAGGAGAGTTTTGCCTTATTGGATTTTCTTAGCTAATCTAATGCTCAGGAACCAGGAAGTTATATTTGTTTTAAAATACAGTGTCCTGTTACATTCTGAAGTAACAATATTGACAGGCAATCTAAATCTGTGTGCACGATTCAAAACTGTTTACATGGAAATTTTCATAATTCAGTAGTAATAACTCTGGGTTATTAGGCCATTTGAATAATTTTTGTACTGGCAAATTTCCTTCTGTTGTGAGCTGGGTCTGTTTTAGAAACTATACCAGAAACATACAGCATCCCATTTTGGATGTGGAAGTATAGCAGTTGATAAAGCACTGCCTCTTTGAAGACTGCCACACTGCATTGTGATTATTTCAGGACAGGAACTGTAGTGTTTCCCTCAGCCCTTTCCTACATCTTCATACTAACCTTTAAATTGTTCATTATGCTCTTGACATAAAGTAAGTTTCCTATGTCGTGACTTTCATTCAGTTCCTTGAATTATTTATAGCCTTCACTCCTTTACCACTCCTTTAACAGTCATTTATTTTTTGAAAAAAAAAAAAACATTTTATTTTCCCTTTTTTCTGCTTGGTCATTTGTTAACTAATTATAAGAAATAGATACATAAGGACGGTATTAAATAAGCACTTGTGGCTTTTATCTGGAGTTTAGGGGGTAGAGTCATGAGAAGAGATTTGGTGGCAGTAGCACAGAGGTGACATTTAAAGCTGCACATTATATTCTATCTGGTATGATAACCAAGCAGACATCTGCCCCACTCCCAGAAATTTCATTGTTCTATCTTTGTTTGCTTATTCAAACAACTAGGATCCAACTAAGTTAGCACCCAGATGTCCATATTTGAATTCCACTGCACCCACACCTATTATCTAATCCTAATAATGCACTCAGTGTTTACATGCATCTTAATAATAATGCCTTTGAAACCCCTTCCAAAAATATGAAAAGTGGTAAAAGAAGTAAATCAAGGATATAACCTGGTATCCTTGCATTTATATGGAATCCACCAATGATAATGAATAGTGGGGGGAAAGGAGAGAGGCAAGAGCACAAGAAGTCTTATCACAGAGGCCAAGTGAAGGCAGTTTCAGGGAGGGGTCAAGAGCAAATGCCTGACAGGGCTGTTTGTTGTTATTGTTGTTTTCTGGTGGTACTGGGGATTGAACCTAGTACTGTATACTGAGCTACAACCCCAGCCCCTTTTTTTTTTCTTTTTTTAATTGTTCATTTGGAGACAGAGCCTTACTAAGTTGCCAAGATTGGTCTTGAACTTGTGATCCTCCTGTCTCAGGCCTCCTGAGTCAAGATTATTGGGATATACCATTGCATCCACTGACAGTGGCTGCCATAAGCAGTAAAGAGGTCCCTGGAAGTGCACATTCAGTCTGTTGGAACCTTGATATTCTGAGTGGCTGACCTGCTGTGGTGCACTGAACCCCACCAGCACTAGTTCTTATTGTTGAACAGCTTCTAGTCATATGAGCTTCCCTTGAAGGGAAGGACTGCTTCCTCAAATGGCACCAGATGTGTGGCCCATGCTCAAAAGAGAATATCAGGGTTTGGGAATGATTTAGAAGAGAGGAGGAAGCACTTCTAGAAGAATGGCACTATCAGAAAAGGATGGAAAGTTAGGTTGGGATAGACTCTGAGTGATGAAAAGATGTTCAACTGGTAGAATCAAACTTATTGACTTGAACTGTGGTTCCTCTAGATGAGATTAGTGTTTTAGTTAAATGGATTCATCACGGACTTAAGTAATATCTAGAGCTGTGAAATTAAACGTAATATGGAAATTTTTATATAGCTTGCTCTTTTAACAGATGGAGGTGACATGCTGTAAGTTAATATTGCTCTTCTGTTTGGTTTTCTTGCCTTTTTTTTTAAACCATATTTAATGATGCTGAGGCAGGTTTGCTGATATTTAGGAGACTTGCTAATAATTGTCAACATATGCTTGCTATTCCCGTCAATGTATAGGTTTTAAGATGTTGTACATCTATATCATAATATGACACACTGGGCAGAAATTTTAATTTTCAATTGGTAATAAATGAAAAGCATATATTTTTCTATATATTCTAGTCAGTGCCCAAAGTTTCTGTTGCACCTCAAAGGGGTTGGACACTATAAATAAGGATAGGAAGAGGAAGGAAGAGGGAGGGGCACTAAATACAGGAAAGAAGGTCCTCATGACTGAAAAAAATCTGTTATTTAACTTAGTTGCCTGTTTCAAACCTCTTCAGTTTTTACAAGCTTAATTAAACTGTGCCTTTCCGTGTGTGCTCATCTATATTTTAAAATGAGGGTAGGGAGACATTAAGATGTCATAAGATATTTTTAAGATGTAATGTGACTCTTGATATTTCTTCTAAATTGTTAAGAAACTTTTATATTTAAAATTAAGATTTTAGGCCAGGCACAGTGGTGTATGCCTCCTGCTGAGGCAGGAGGATTGCAAATTCAAAGCCAGCCTTAGCAATTTATGAGGCCCTGAGCAACTTAGTGAGATCCTGTTTTGAAAATAAAAAACGTTAGGGGAGGACAAAAGGGCTGGGAATGTGGCTCAATGATGAGTGCCCCTGGGCTTAATCCCCGGTACCCCAAAAATAAATAAATTAGATTTTAAGAATTCATTAAGATATCAAAAGTGAATCAGACAGTTTGGCAAAGAAAATATTGATAATGAAGATGGAACATTTCAAGTGAATTTTATGTATTATGTTTTAGTGCGGCTTTTTGTTTCTTCCTACAATTAATTTAACTAAATTGTTAAATTCCTAAAACAGTCCTGCCATAAGCCATTTTTTAGAACAAATGAAAAGTGGCAGGAATGAGTTTTGATCATGATGGGCTTGGTGTGTTGACTTCTTGAGGAATATACTGGGAATGGAAGAGGATTTCTGTAAGATTGTAAGAAATGCTGAAAGAATCTAACTTTTATAGGAATCTACTTAGACTTATTTCTCATACTAGCAGATTCATTTTTTTTTTTTTTTTGGAAGCTACTTTATTGAAATAATCAGGCTGTTTTGAGATGGACAGGTGTGTGCCTTTTGGCCTCGTTGGTTGTTTTTCTTTTCACTTTGTGAGGAACACTTCTTGAGCCTTAGCTGTGACCACAAATGCTGAGGGAAGCAACAGTTAGCACATTATTCCACTTAAAGGCTTGCAGTTGAAAGAGGAGTATGTAAAGTTCTGGAATGTAAAGGAAATCATAACAGATCTCATCTGTAGACAGGTAGAAAGCCCAAGGCCAGGTTTAATTACGTAGCAGTACAAAACCATTATCCTTTTCATAAGAGGTGGGGAAGAGGAGTGTGAGTGAAAACAATGGGCATTTATCTGACCGGCTGCCCAGACCCAGCCTGCGCAAGCTCTGCATTCTGCAGGYAGCATGCATTTTTTGAAACACTCCTAAATGTTCCAGCTTTAAATAGCAACGAGTCTTCTAAAATGATGCTGCGTGCTGCAGGAGAAATGAAAGCGGCCGCCTTGGAGGCAGGAAGCCGACTAGCGAGATGCTTAATTATCGTGGAAGTAAGTGCTTGTTACTGTTGAGTGCAGCATGCAGTGAGCGGGGGTCCTCCTCTGTGTCAGAGTGTGATTTGTAGACAATGCCGCCCTGTCAGCTCAGTGCTGGTTCAGCAGCATCTTTCCAAACATGTATCTGGCAAGAATTTAAAGGCCACCTCTTGTGTAATTTGTGGAGTCTTGGAAAAGGATTCTCTGCCTTTCTTTTCAGGATGTACGCAACCATGCAGGATTTTGTAGTCAGAATCTGTGCCTCCTGCCTGACGTGTTCATGAGGAAGTTCGTTTTCCTGCCCGTCACCTGGAAGGATGCTGACAGTTCTCTGAAATCTGTTGGGGGGATATGGAGAAGGCTGCCCAGAGCAGCATTTTGTTTCTGCCGTCGTCATAAATTAGTGCTGATGGGGTGGATTAGATTGTACTATTGAAGGAAATGCAGGCATTTTGTTAATTAGTGTGATACTTCCAGCTCTAAGAGTAGATGAAACTAAGGAGAGCTTGGGAAGAGGTCACAGTGAATGCTGGTTTCATTCTGCAATATTCCTCGCTCATCTGGGTAAGTAATAAAGTAGGGGAAAATACAGAAGAATGCTAATGGATATAATGGCTCCTGAAAAACTCGTTTATTTTCTCTCTGCTGTATTTGCTCTTGCCAACTATGTTAAGCCTTTGTAAGGAAACAAGTATTGATTTTGAAATATGGAAGGAGTTTAAAAGTGTGCATTATAGCATACTCAATAAAATGATTTTTCAGTTTTAGTTTTGTTAAAAACTGACTTTGCATTGCTCTAATTATCTGATTTGGTTGGTTAGGTTTCAAACTTCTGGTCAGTACAGTGGCTCATGATGCTGTACATTATTACAGGTCACTGGGGGCAAAAGTCTGTACTTGGGGTACTGTGATGCCCCAGAACAAGTTGTCATCTCCATCTCCAGTTGGATGAAATAGTATATTAAGCTATTTAAGTATATTAAATATATTTCAATTTAAATAATGGATTATATTAAATGACCTTATACTCTCTTCTTTCCTTCAAATCTGATTTACTAAAAATATGGATCATGGAACTCTGAACCACAATTTTGGCAATTGCATTTTTATTTTAAAATGTGTTTATGAAATGCTTATTCAAATTGTCTTTCTCTTTTTCAGAGAAAGTATGGAATCATGGCAATCACAGAATCCCAGTAATAGAAGTTCCATTCAGTTTTTTCTGAAAGAAAGCCATCTATTAAAGTGAAGGAAAGAAACTGTTGTGGATTACAATGTTTTGAAGATCAGGATTTTCAGTGATTTGAAAATAAAGGATCATTTGGCCTTTTAAATGAAAAAGCTTAAGATCTCATGCAACCCTTGTATTTTCTGGAAGCTGTTCTCCAAAAGGGAAGTGCACATTTAAAACACAGATATGATGGTCCTTTCTGTAGGGATTTAAGTCTCCTTGCTTTTACATCATGACCAGCTTGAAACGGTCACAGACAGAAAGGCCTGTGGCCACTGACAGGACCTCCGTTGTTGGCACAGATGGCACCCCCAAAGTCCATACTGATGACTTCTACATGCGCCGTTTCCGGTCCCAAAATGGCAGCTTAGGATCATCAGTCATGGCCCCGGTAGGGCCTCCTCGAAGTGAAGGTTCTCACCATATAACCTCGACCCCCGGAGTTCCCAAAATGGGGGTTAGGGCAAGGATTGCAGATTGGCCTCCAAGAAAGGAAAACATAAAAGAATCTAGCCGYTCGAGCCAGGAAATAGAAACCTCAAGTTGCCTTGAGAGCATGTCCTCCAAAAGCAGTCCTGTGAGTCAGGGAAGTTCTGTTAGTCTCAGTTCCAATGACTCAGCCATGCTGAAGAGCATACAGAACACCCTGAAAAACAAGACCAGACCATCGGAGAACATGGACTCCAGATTTCTTATGCCTGAAGCCTATCCCAGCTCCCCTAGGAAAGCTCTCCGCAGAATACGGCAGCGGAGCAACAGTGATATCACCATAAGTGAACTCGATGTGGATAGCTTTGATGAATGTATCTCACCCACGTACAAGACTGGGCCATCTCTGCACAGGGAATATGGTAGCACATCTTCAATTGATAAGCAGGGAACATCTGGAGAAAGCTTTTTTGATCTGCTAAAGGGCTACAAAGATGACAAATCTGATCGAGGTCCAACTCCAACCAAGCTCAGTGACTTTATCGTTGCCGGTGGCAGCAAGGGTTCCGGTTTCTCTTTGGATGTTATCGATGGGCCCATCTCACAGAGAGAGAACCTCAGGCTTTTTAAGGATAGGGAAAAACCACTCAAGCGACGTTCCAAGTCTGAAACCGGAGACTCATCCATTTTTCGCAAATTACGCAATGCCAAAGGTGAAGAACTTGGGAAATCGTCAGACCTAGAAGACAACCGATCAGAAGATTCTGTCAGGCCCTGGACATGTCCAAAGTGTTTTGCCCACTATGATGTCCAGAGTATATTATTTGATTTGAATGAGGCAATTATGAACAGGCACAATGTTATTAAAAGGAGAAATACCACCACAGGAGCTTCGGCAGCTGCMGTGGCATCCTTGGTCTCTGGACCTTTGTCCCATTCAGCCAGTTTCAGCTCCCCAATGGGCAGCACAGAGGACCTGAACTCCAAAGGAAGCCTCAGCATGGACCAGGGAGATGATAAAAGCAATGAACTTGTAATGAGCTGTCCGTATTTTCGGAATGAGATAGGTGGAGAAGGTGAAAGGAAAATCAGCCTGTCCAAATCAAATTCTGGCTCCTTTAGTGGGTGTGAAAGTGCCTCCTTTGAGTCTACCCTTACCTCCCATTGCACAAATGCGGGAGTGGCAGTACTTGAAGTGCCCAAGGAAAATTTGGTGTTGCATCTAGACAGAGTGAAAAGATACATCGTGGAACATGTGGATCTTGGCGCATACTATTATAGGAAATTTTTCTACCAGAAGGGTGAGTAGAGATCCTTTTTTGTTTATTTTTAAATTTTCTTTTGTTGTCCTCTCTRGAAATAAAAGTATTACATATTAAATATTTTAGCAGTGTGACATAAGATTTGCATGAATTCTTATMTTTCTCAATGGTAAAATATTTAAATAGCTCATTGCAATTTTTTTTTTGCATTTTTGAGTTATTTTTTCCTTTTGGTATATAAAGATCTTATATATTAAATATTAATTTTTAAATTAAAACCTTTGACTTAATGAATAAAATTAYAGTCTTTGTTGTGTAGAAGACTTTSTTATGTCACCTTTGGGCATAAATGTGTAAAGTTGAAAACATTTTAAATACCGCTTTTTTTCTTTTGGGATTGTAAAAACAATCTTACTGCTCCCTTTCATTTTTAGCACTTTTGCAGTTAGTATAGAATTGTTTCTTTGCTGCCTCAATGTTTGTATTTGTAAATGGGAATTTTAATATATTCTTATCTAGAGGAACTTTAGTGATGAAGAATTAGATTATTTGACAAAAGCCACAGAGCCTATAAGTTCAGAGACATGAATCAAGTTAAATTCCTTTCTTGTCCTTTTCTTGGGGGAAGGATGTAAAAAGATACACACACACACGTGTATATATATACACACATACACATAAGTGTGTGTATATATGTATATACACACACACATACATATTTGAGATTATACTTTACACAGTSTTATCTCCTACTTCTAAGACTGGAACTCTGATTTGTTGAAGAACAGTGTAATTCCTTAAGAGCTTTCTAATAGAATTTGTTGAATATCATTAAAATTGAGGGATAAGTTTCTGTCATCCAGGTCCCCAGACCAGGAACAGGTGATCCCCAAGGAATGATACACACCTGTGTCCATTAGCTGGCTATGCAGTCTCTGCAGTCAGGTGAGGAGACCTGTGGTAAGAGGCTGCTATCTGCTCACTTGTTACTTCCCACCTCYTGTTCTGGGGTTTTGGGGTTTTGAGTGTTATTTAGGTTTATTTTTCTGAATGAAAATCTTTTTTTTTTTTTTCAGATCTTTTTTTTTTTTTCCCCTCTGAGTCTTAAAATAACTTTATTTTTTGGGAGTAAAATTTATCTGAAGATTGTTTACATGATGGACCCTATTCAGGAAGGTTTATTGACAGGAAAAAACCTTGTCTCATTACTAACTATCTATGTTGTGGATCCTGGAATCAGTTATAATGAAAATCTCAGTTTCACTTTCAAACTATATTTATTTTCTCAGAATAATTTTTTGGAGTTAAGATTTAGAAACTATGTGTTTCTTTCACTCTTAGAGGGCAGGATTAATCAAACTTGCCCTCTTGCCATTTGGGACCAGATGTTCTCTTTTGGGGTGAGGGATACCCTGTGCCTTATAGGATTTTAGCAGCATGCCAACAGATTTCTTCGATCCCTGCAGCTGTGACATCCAGGTAAAATTGCCTCTAGCTGATGACTCCTGCTTTACTATGCCTGAGACACTTTTTACAAGTATCTCTGAGCTGTTCTGATGGCTTTGAGGAGCCATCTTGCCTTCAGTGTAACTGATATTGACGTTGTGATGAACATGAGAGAGAATGTATTAGTTTTATCTTATTTATATAGTAGTGGGCACTTTTTTTTTCCTACTAGCCAATATAATAATAATAATAAACATTTTTGATAATTTATGTCCCAGACACTATGCTAAGCATTTGATATGACACACACTTTTTCATTTCAATCTCTTGATGTCCATGAGGTAGATACTATTGCTAATCCAATTTTCCAGATGAGAAAACTGGGGCCTAAGTGATAATGCTGTCATGGAACTAATAAATATTGGAGCCAGGATTCCACRTTTGTTCTCTTTGAGCATAGTTGTATTCTTAATCACTATTCTTTGATCTCTACYATGTTAGAATGAAGGGAAGGAGGGAATCTTGCTTAAGACACTTTATCTTTCAAAAGTATAGAATAAAAATTTGAACACTAGAGTTCAGAGCAATCCTGCTTACTCATAACAACTCATAATTTTATAAGCCATTAATCCAGCAGTTGCTTATCTCTTACCTAGTATAAACCACAAGAGCAAAAGCAGAGATACCAGTAGATCAATCTCAGGACAGAGTCTTTTTCATAATTTTTTTCTTATTTTATTTTTTTGTAGCTATCTTGCCCACATCCAATCCAATGACTTTTTTTTTAGTGACTTGCCTATAGTAAGCCTTCCCAAAGTCTTCAACTTAGCTTTCATAAAAGAAGTATTTMTCTTTTATACTCATATTTCATCAACTTTCATAATAATTAAATTTCATAATTAAAATAATAAGTCAACTGCCATCGTCAGGTTTAGGAAGATATATCTGACTGTGTCAGCATGAGTTCCAGCTGTTGGGAGCATAAAATGTGTGTGGCACTAGAGATGGCCTACAAGAAATAAAATGCTCCCACAATTTTTATTATACAACTTTGATTCACTGAAATTAATGCCCTAACCCATTTCCCCTGATCAGGACCTTAAATCAACTCTTCTTTTTGAAGGAGTACAGCAGTGTCAGATGGGCTTTGCCCTCCAGTGCCACAGTGTAGCATTCCTGACCCAGCTGTCACCTCACTCTCTTCATCTCCAGTTTCCATTCTGCTGTTCAGAGCATTCCTGACTTCATTGTAGCTAAGTCTCAAGGGAAAAATTTATTACTAAGAACATTATAGCAACATTGTGTATAAAACGTGATGATCATATTCACCTGATGAAGCTGCAGTTCCTTTAATATAAGATTATTATTTTACAGATTTAAACTGTAGAGTAATCTGACTCCAACATATTAGCCAGATCTATTGCTGGAAAAGTACTGGACCAGTAGAGGAAACTCGTGGTTTGGACTTACAAAAGTTAGCAATATGGCACTGATGGCCATTTTTGCTAGTGTGTGTGGTCATACCAAGACTCACAAAGGATGAAACAATAGTAGTAATAGAGCCAATGTTTATAATGTTATTACTTTGTGCTTTTTGTAGATCTCCTCACTTGATTCTCCTAGGACTCCAWAATGAACCTGTTCTTGTCAGCAAAATTAAAGTGATGTGACCATGTCCTCCTTAGGGAGGCAAGGACTAAGCAATAGGATAGGATTCAAATTAACCTGGTTATCTTCCTTTGAAGATATACATATTTTTCTCTTCAGTTTTTATTCATCACTATAATTAAAGTATCAAGGACATTTGTAAGTAGAAAATACTAAGTTGGGAGTAATTCAGTGTTGCCTGTAGATAGCATGATTTGTTGAGGAGAGGACTCTTCCTTATTCTCTGTTGTCCCCATAGAGTCTGAGGCATGTTTTGAATATCATTCAGAGGTTTTCTTCCCCTGGCAGGCAGGATCTTCTGGGCTTTGTTGGCAGTGGTGTTTGTTGTTCCATGGTCAGTGGTATTGACAGGCCCATCTCTATACCACGTGGGGCATGGCTCACAAAGTCAAGTTATTGAAGATGTGGTAGGGAAGGGCCTCTGCCTGCTGCCCAGTGGATGGAAGAAACTGATGTTACAGTTGAAGCTCATCTATGAATATTTTCCCACTCCTAAAAAAAGAGAAACTGATGCTTCCCCACTTAATTATTCTGATAACTCTAAGACACCAAATTCTGTTGTTCTTACTGTTCATTTCCCCCTATAATTCTATGTGGGGCAGTTTCCTGGGCCCTTGGATTACCAGTTTGAAGACACAAGCTGGATTTCAGTTGCTACTATAAAGTTCAATTTTCTTTCTTTACCTCTCACCCTATTGTAATCAGCCAACTTTAACATACTTTATAAGAATATTTCATGTAATTTCCTGTATACTAAAGAGACAGTTTTGGTAATTTTGCTATCAAGAACCATCCTTCAAATTCCAGTCTGTTAAATGAGCAGCATTATGCAGCTGTTTTGTAAGTTCTAGTGAATTATTTTATAGTAACATCAGAACATCAGAAAGTAGAAGCAAAAAGAAAAATTGTCTAAATTGAGACCCCGAGAGCCATATTAGCTTCACAGTTCCTGGCTGAACCCTGTAATAGAGCAATTGACAACTAAAACCATAGCACTGTACAGTAGTTGTTATGAAATATACATTATGTTCCTAAAAGATAAAAAAAAAAAAGGACAAAAAAAAGATAAAGTTTTTTTTTTTTTCTCAAGCGTTCTTGTGCGTGTAAATACTTTATGGATGAGGGAGGAACATCTGCAGATAGAGTACCCTGGATAATTAATTTTGTCATTTGATGGTATAGGTGTGCTCTGTCAGGTTTCTTTGTGCTTATGCTAACAATTAGTCAGTGGCTTCAATTTCATTCTTGATGTGGAGTTAATTTTTTCATTGCTTCAAGTAGAGAAAAAAATGAAGAAACCTCTCAGATGTTGCTAAGGCTGACCTGAGCCCAGGTATAGCCAGCAAGTCTTTTCAAGTTAGAACACCTTCCTAAAGTAGGCAGATCTGGTACACCACTCGCCCAGTAGTCTGCCTGCAAGAGCCATGATTCCCATTTCACAGATTCAGAAACTAAATTTTTGAGTGGCTAAGTCACTAGCTTGACATTTAATAGCTAAGAAGTCTTATTTATATTTTAGATAGGAGGAAGCAGAAGCTTAGAGAGGTTAAACCTTATAAATAGAGGAGGCAGAGCTTTATGAAAAAAAAAGAAGGATGAAAACATCGGGGGACAAACTAAATACATTTTAAAAAAATCTGTGCCTGTTTATGCTCCCTGCTCCCCTTTATTTTCCTAAAAAAAAAAAAAATCCTTCTAGAAATATAGCAAACTTAGGCTTGAGGAAAGTACTATAGATTGCCTTAGAGTCCAGAATTTTTTCAGGATACTTACCCCAAGAGTAGTTTTCTGACATGAGTAGTTTTATGTCCAGTTAAGTGRTGAGCTCCAGTCAACAAGTCTGAGCCATGTTGTGCTCTATGCTCTTGAACTTAGCAGTTCATCCTGCCACAGTTAATAGTGAAAGATCTCATACATGTTTATAA